GCAGAGCAGGGGCAGGGCTGGGGCAGAGCAGGGGCAGAGCAGGGGCAGGGCTGGGGCAGGGCCGCACTCTAGGTGCACTGCCCGGCCTGTCACAATTGCTTCTGTGCACCTGCCTAAATATCTTTTCAAATTAAAAATGCCTTCTGTATTTTTATATTTAAAAAAACGGTCTATATTCATATTGCAAAGAAAATAATGGGCCAAGAAGGTAACATTACTCATCATGTAGTTCCTAAAGCGGTTTAGGTGGATGGTCTTCCAGGTATTTTAATGAACAAATTTTATTTTATTTTATTATTTTACCTAGTTTTAATTTAATTGTATTTACCCAACCCCACCTGAGGATATGTTTATTGATTTTAGAGCGACAGGAAGGGGCGGGAGAGAGACAGAGATCGGCTGCCTCCGTACGCGCCCCGCCCAAGATTAAACCCCCACCTTCGGTGCACAGGGGGCCGCTCCACCAAGCCCCCCAGCCGGGCAGTGGACCTATTGGATGGTTAGCTTCCCATGTCCCTGGGGTTCCATGTGTGGATTCAACCAGCACATTGAAAACATTCGGGGGGAATCCCAGGAAGTTTAAAAAGCAGCGCTCGGCATTGCCCACCCCGGGACGGACATGTGCAGCTGACCCTGTGTGGCCCCCGTGCTACACAGGTCATATGCGGGCCGGACACAGTATAGAAGGGTTTGAACACCATGGGTTGTGGTATCTGGGGGTTCCTGGGACTGTTCACGCACTCACTGCTTGTTAAAGAACCGACTGCTCAGTCAGTTCACAAGAGCTGTGGCCTCAGCAGTAGAAGGGCTGGCACAAGGGCTGCTGAGGTATTGAAGCTGTTCGAGATGAATGCAGCCGTCCATGTGCGTGCTGGGTGCTGGGTGCCGGGTGCATTATCAGTGTGGGAGTCTGGGTGCGTGCTGGGGGCATTGTCAGTGTGTGTGCCGTGTGCATTATCAATGTGGGTGTCAGTATGGGTGCCGGGTGCATTATCAGTGTGGGTGTCAGTGTGGGTGCCGGGGGCGTTGTCAGTGTGGGTGTCAGTGTGGGTGCCGGGTGCTTTGTCAGTGTGCGTGTCAGTGTGGGTGCCGGTGGCATTGTCAGTGTGGGTGTCAGTGTGCGTGCCGGGTGCTTTGTCAGTGTGGGTGTCAGTGTGGGTGCCGGGTGCTGTGTCAGTGTGCGTGTCAGTGTGGGTGCCGGTGGCATTGTCAGTGTGGGTGTCAGTGTGCGTGCCGGGTGCTTTGTCAGTGTGAGTGTCAGTGTGGGTGCCGGGGGCGTTGTCAGTGTGGGTGTCAGGGTGGGTGTCGGGTGCTTTGTCAGTGTGGGTGCCAGGGGCATTGTCAGTGTGGGTGCAGCATTGGCTCCTCGACAGTTGTTACTGTTGCTTCACTGTAGTCGCACCTTCTCCTGCTAACACGTGGGCACTCATTTCTTTCTTGTCGAGTTAATGCATGAATGGTGTGTGTGTGCCTGTGAAAGTATGCATGTGTGTGTGCACGCACACATTCCCTCTTTCTGTCACTAGGGAAGACAGCTTAGAGGAGCACATTAATCACTTACAGTATGAACTTTTTGCCCTGTATATGTGGTTATTCTTAGAAAGGCCATACTCTTTGTTCTGGGCAGAAATGAAGTCATTGTGGTTGTGTGTAGTCTCAAAATATTTCAGAAGACTCGCTGAGGTTCACTGGCAAGGCAGGTCTTGTGCCCGCGGACGCTGTCCCGGGAACCCGCCTCCCTGAAACACCTTTCATCGCCAGATGCCATAACCGACCTCGCCTCGCATCCCGGCTACTACGGGCGCCTGGTGGAGGAGTCCCTGGGGAATTGCTGCCTGGCCACGGAGGAGATCGAGCGGGACCTGCACCGGTCCCTGCCGGAGCACCCCGCCTTCCAGACCGAGACGGGCATTGCCGCTCTGAGGAGGGTCCTGACAGCCTACGCCCACCGCAACCCCAGGATCGGGTATTGCCAGGTGAGGTGCGGGGGCCCTCAGTCCACACGGTGCTGGCCCCGGCTTCTGTCTGTGTCCGGCCTTGGGACCAGCACTGTCCTGGGAAGGCTCTGCCCTAGAGAAGGTGTCAGGGAGACAGGGAAGGCACCCTGGGCAGGCAGGCTGCTTGCCAGGTCAGACTGGTGCCCGACCTGAGCACCTCTGGGCCGAGCCCCGGCGGGTAGGCTGGGCAGCCTCCTGCCTCTGGTGCGGAACAGCCTACTGGCAGCGCGGTCTTTCCCTCTGGAACATGCAGGGTCAGCTTTAACATGGTGGTGCTTTGGGGAGGAAATGGTGTGTGGGCGCTCACGTCCTCAGTGCGGTGGGCAGCGCCAAGGCTGCCTGAGGACTCGGGCTTGTTGGGCTTCCACGGTGCAGACACACGGAACCCCCAGCAGGCCCTCCACGCAGGGCTAGGGAAGCTCCTGACATTTAGATGCGAGATCTTAAAGATCATAGCTGCAGTGTGTGCCTGTGTGATGGGAACACGGGAACAGGCAGTTCAGTCTGGGCCTGAGGACACCACAGCAGGTCCTGCACTGCCCACGGGCTGACCACAGGGTGACCAGGGCAGGGGACCGAGACGGTGGGCAAGCCATGGGGCTGGCCACCATGGGGACCGAGACGGCGGGCTGGCCACGATGGGGACCGAGACGGCGGGCTGGCCATGGAGGGGACTGAGATGGCGGCTGACCACACTGACAGACACGCAGTCGTCCCACCGCCAGGCATGGGGGCTGGGCGCCCTGATGCTGAGTTGTAGAGAGTTTGGACATGGGCGCTTTAATGTCTGAGGCCCATGTGGTCCGCTCAGTAATGCCTCCTGTGGCCCGCAGTCCATGAACATCCTGGCCTCCGTGCTGCTGCTCTACGCCACGGAGGAGGACGCCTTCTGGCTGCTGGTCGCTGTATGCGAGCGCATGCTCCCGGACTACTTCAACCGCCGCGTGCTGGGTAAGTGCCCCTCTCCTCCCCCTCCCCCTCCACCTCGTCCTTCCCTTCTTTATGCTCCCCTGCCCCTCCCCCCTCCCTGGGTGCCTGGCATGTGAAAGGCCTGCACAGGCCAGGCGGCTCTCCCAGTCCTGGCCAGGGTCTGGGACCCCTCAGCCCTCTGCACCCACCGCAGGGCTCCAGGTTTGCAAAGCTCACTGGTATAACTGACGGGTGTAACTCACTGGTGTGATTCCCTGCAGTTTTGGCAAAAGGGTGAAATAAAGTCACCTACAAGCATAGATTTTGGATAAAAACAAACACATTGTTTTACGTTGATCGCTGAACTCAGAAGAAGGAAAGAAAAATTCAAGGCTCAAGAAACAGTTGAACAGTGAAAACCAGAGAGGTGTCTCTCAGCTGGGGGGCAGCAGAGGAGGTGAGGGAAGAACACAGGTAGCCGCCTTTAGGCCCGGCCTCAGGGGCGGCCTGGAGCCCCGCTGCCCAGCAGGCTGCGGGGAGAGCTCGCAGCTCTGCTCTCCGACCTGAAGCACCTGGAGCCGTCAGGGTGGCTTACGTTGAATGCGCACTGTCTGTGGTCTAGCAGCTGTCTGGTGGAGAACATGACACCAAAGCTGCCTTGGGCCGAAACCGGTTTGGCTCGGTGGATAGAGCGTTGGCCTGCAGACTGAGGGGTCCCGGGTTCGATTCCGGTCAAGGGCATGTACCTGGGTTGCTGTATGCGAGCACATGCTCCCGGACATCCAGTTGGGGATGTGCAGGAGGCGGCTGATCGATGTTTCTCTCTCATCGATGTTTCCGACTCTGTGTCTCTCTCCCTTCATCTCTGTGAAAAATCAATAAAATATATTTTTAAAAAAACTGCCTTGGTAACACCCCTAGGGCACCTCCTGGTCATGCCAGTCATGCTGGTCATGCCGGAGGTGGAGATGGCCCAGAGTTAGGTGCAGCAGGGGAGCAGGAAATAGCCAGCTGAGATGGGCCTTGACCTAGGGCGAGGCAGGGGGAAGGGCTGCGGACACCCCTGGGAGAGGGAGGGCGGCAGGGGAGGGGCGCTGCCTCCCGCCTTCTGGGGGCCCTGGTATTCCTTCCTGTGCCTGGGCTGGCTCACTGGCTTGCCTCCCTTCTCACTGGATCTTGTGGCGGGTGGTGTGACTTTGTACAGAGTCGCAATGGATAGAGAGCCTGGGGCGGGGAGGCGTGCTGCCCTCAATCACCAGTGCCTCCGGGATAGCTCGGGCTCCCGTGCTAGCAGGGCTCGGGTCGGGCCGCACCGCATGTCCGCCCCGTCCAGACTGAACAGGTGGAGGCTCTCCCCTGCCCTGCCCTGCTGTGGACAACCCTAGGCACGCCGCGGTCGCCACCAGTGAACTGGCCTGCCCTGGAGCGGGTGTGGAGCGTGCTCCCTGCTGGGCTGGCTTCCTCCACACGGAGCCAGCAGCTTTTCCTGTCCTTGTTGAGTGTTCGCTGAGCGAGCATATGGCCATTTGTCTACCTCATCTCGTTAGACATTTGAGTTGTTTCCAATTTTTTATACTAAATAAAGTTGCGATGAACATTAAAGCTTTTGTGTGAATGCTACCTGTTAGTTTTCTTGAGTATTTACCTAGGAGAAGTGCTGGGTCATAGGTTAGTTGTTTGTTTAACTTCATGAGAAATGGTCAGTTTTTCAAAGCATATTATAATGTAGTCACAAACCTTGTATCAGCAATATATGAGCGTCCTGGTCGCTCCACATCCTTGCTGCACTTGGAATTGTCTTTCTAATTTTAGCCCTTCTAGTGTGTAAGAAGTGGCACATCATGGTGATTTTAACTTGCATTTCTCTGATGATTAGCGATGTTGAACATACATTTTTGTTCTTACTGGCCATTTGTTTATCATCTCTTTGGAAGCGTCTGTTCAGTCTTTTGCCTGTCTTTGAGAGTGTTGGTGATTCACTTCTTTTTGTTTTCTTTTTTTTTAATTAAATCTTTATTGTTCAGATTATTACAGTTGTCTTCTTTCCCCCACATCCCCCATAATTCCCCACCCCACCGTCCGTCTTCACCA